ATTCAGATATAACAAAGGACAAGGCTCGGCGATGGTACGAGTTCCTGGCTATGCATGTTTTCTGTAAGAACATAGAGAACAACGACCGTAAATGTCTGTACACCGAGTTGCAACGTAAGTACGCAACTGAGGCTCGAGACAAGGGACATGAAACAAAGTTTTATCTATTCCGACTTACGTGGGAACAGTTTTATGATACTGTATCCACTCTTTTCCACGCACACCGAGTAACCTCGAAGAGAAAGGCGGTAAATAAGAAACCGAGCGAGCTCCCTCATCAAGGATATCTCTCACGCCAGACTCAGATGATAAGCCTCACCAAACGCGTCCTAACCAAACACGTTATCGCGACTCCACTCAATCAACGCGACCCAGTAAACGGGGACGCGCGGAGCCAAAGGACTAGGAACCTCTATACAAGGAGATTAAGAAATGTGCCGACGCACAGTGTGGGTATGACATGTACCAATTGACCCCTAACGGTTATTGTAACGGAAGACATACACCCACCTGTACACACTTTCTTACGAAGTGTGACAAGTGTGAGAAGACCAATGGCTATCACGCCACGTCTTGCGACAAGAAGCCCAACATTAACTTGGAATGAAATTACTACCAGGTACAATCGTTATAATGAAAATACAACGACTCCTTAGATGAGCGCGTAAAAATCCCTGTATATTGCAACGGAAATAAAAATCCTGGTTCAAAAATTTCGTGTATATCCGATCGTTTTGCATTAATGAAAGACATTAAAGGCGAACTCAAACTATTACCCTAATTTTCAGCAGATGATAAAACTTCTAAATGTGATACCATGGCCACAGATGTTAAAATCTCCCTGGCCGATGATAGAAATATCACGACTCAAGCTGTGATCGTTAAGATCTCACATAAGTATGATATTCTAGTCGGAATGAGCGATTTGCTCACATTAGGGATAACCGTAACAGGCTTACCCAACAACATAGATCCATTAAAGGATCAGTCAGACGATAATTGTCTAAAACCATATACACCACCATCGGACACAGTCAAGGAAGCGATAAAATAAAGGATCTTATATTAGCAAATAAGAATATTGAAATAACCGACTGGGCGAAATTCCGCTTTAACGACGGATACGTCAAGCTTGACTTAACCAAGGTAGACTTTACTAAGCTCAAATGTCGTTCAAAATACTATGTTTCTTGGAAACACGAAGCTGTAGTTAAAGTACAAGTCGAGAAATGGTTATCCGATTGGGTAATCGAAACCAATTACCAACAAGCGCCAGTTAACTTAGCATTATTGGCAGTTGATCGACACAACTCTGACGGAACACTTAAGAAGTCAGAGCACGTCTAGATATGGGCCTAATAAATAAGTTATTGCCGACTCATAGTTTACATCTCCCTCGTATAAACGAGTTACTGAGACGGATGAGGTGGAACATCAATTGCACTCTTCATCTTCAACATATGCAACGGCCCATTTTTTTATGACATGCAAATAATTTGTGTAATCGCATCTACACAATAGAACACGAGCCATGAGCGCTGCATCAGATAAGCCTTTATCCTGCAAATAACTCTGTCGGTCATCAGTTGTCACCATACACACCCTAAAGGAAGATAAACTATATTTCGATGCCTCTCCAATAAAATTATAGCAGACATCCCCACCGCCTTTGTCCACCGACAGATCGGGATCGTCTGATACAATAAAACTCGATACTTGGGCTTTAAAATGACCATCCGCCTCGTATGGCACAGAGCAGCCCAGTATTGGCATCTGAAAGTCTTACAAAAACTGATTCCTACTTTAGTTTGTTCTCCAGTTCTCATATAAGCACAAACTAAGATTTGATTCCTTCTTTTGAAGCTCCCAGGCCCTTTTTCTCTAGTTCTAGAATCTTCTCATAAGAGTTACGAGCTGTCTTGAGTCGTTCATCTCTTTCTTTATACTTGGCTGGAGGCATGTCTGCATCAAACACAAATATAGGAGTGCATCCCAAAATATTCGTACCGGTGTTCAAATAAAGGTTGAAAGTCTTGATTATCTCTAGTTTCAACGCATCACTCAAAACTCTCTTATCGTACTTATGGATTGCACTTGCGATCTAGGATATATTTGAAAAAGAACGGCGTGTGCAGCGATCGAGAGCGACGTGTAGTAGTGCTGATCCATCAGTATAATAGAGTTTGTTCTCGACGAGTGGCGCTAGTAAAGATATATGGGTGGGTACTGCCTTGTGTTTGGTTACTGATATACCGTCGATCTCCAAGAACACAAGGAGCACGGTTACACCTATCTTTTATAACTAGAACGTGTGTTATGAGTGAGGAAAGTAAGCTAGTATACGCCACTTTTGCACTTAAAATTGACGTGTTTTGTAGATTGTGTGATAAAAGCGATGGTTTAGAAAATTTCATTTGTCCCCAAAACGTGAGATGTGGTCTAAAAATCGAAATATTTATAGGTGTATTTGACCGAGATATTATTTTGAAATTCGCGTCATCACTTTTTTTAGTTAATACCGGAACCAAAAAATCCAGTCCCGCAAAGGGTATCTGGCTAGTATAATTTTAGAAGGCTATGACATTTTTCAAAGTTTTATTTTCAAACAAAAAAAATTATTTTAAAACAAAAAATGACATATTTAAAAAATACTTTTTTATTTACATCACGGGCCTGGTGATTCGATTGTAAATATTTGATTACATTTACATTGGATGTTTATATCGACTAGTCTTGTTGAGTAATATATGTCCCCAGATTCGTCCCGAGGTTTTATAGTATCGTATCGCGTGAGCAAAAGTGGTCCATTTTGTCAATAAAAAGTCTATTCTTCGAGTGCATAACCTAGAAATTTGGCAGCCTATTTTGACCCAGTTTTACGAGAAAAACAGTGAAAGTTTGTTGTACACACAGTGCAATTTGTATAGGGTTAAAATATGACGATATTTACGTATTTTAAATTTTTCAATCCCCGATCCCCCCCAGTCACAGACCCCGTGCCCAGAGTGGCAGAGAGTCAGCGAGGGAAATCAGGGCTCAGCGACTCAGCGTGGCAACGAGGGACACCGCAATATCTCATTCATGTATATTGTTTAAAAAAAATAAAATAAAACAAAGAACAAAAGCAAAATACAAATATTTATGTTTGTTGTTTTTATATAAATAGAACATATTTATTTAGCCTCCTAAATTGAACAAACAATAAAAAATGATCATAAACCTACAATTTTTTGTTTTTGTTTTAAAAAACAACATGAAAACAAAAAAATTGTTGTTTTGTTTTGTTTTATAAAAAATCATTTTTTTTATAGGTTGTTTTATAAAAAGAGTTTTTTTTATGGTATTTACCATAGCCTTCTAAATTATGTCTAAAGAAATAAATACATTTTTACATTCTGATTCAAGCCATAGCCTTCTGAAAATAGAACTTCAAGCACATACATTCTGTATTTATTCCATACGATTATTTATAAATATAGACGAAGTTATTGTACATGCAGTAAAATACATATCAATTTTGGGGTTTTTTATAAGCCTCTCCACACATGATGTGAGAGGCAAGAGCCCAGACTCCCCAGCAGAGTCACTGTCTCCCAGACTCCAACTCTAGACTCCAGAGGACCAGAGGCAGCGACACTGCGACAGCCGATAGGCGATAAGTATTATCAAAATGTTAGATATTGTAGCGCGGATACAACCCATTTGTTGCACTTATGTTAGGTACTTGTCGGTCTTAAGGGCTTGACATATGTTAGCAGTTAGACACATATATATAGGCGTCCTCTGTCTTAGCTATTGCTTCGGATTCGCCCATGGTTTTACAGTTGATACTATCGTGTCTAACATCCGTCGACCTCTCCTCTGAAACCGACAAAGAACTAATACAACAAGTGCAATAAATGGGCTAAAATCACGCTCATTGCATCTTAAAAGCAAAGTAAACGCGAAAAAGTTTAAGTATGAGACTGGTAGGAAACTGGGCCTGAGGTGGTTAATAGTTTTATTATCACCAGTGTCGTATAAAGATATTCCTATGTAGTATAGTAGATAGTCCTACTACTAGTACTGTGTAATGTGTATTGACTGTAGTAAGTAGTGTGGCACCATTGAGTCCTCGTGTATGTACCGTCACTCCGTCAGTCTGTCGCACAGAGAGAGAGAAGCTAGCTGAGTACTGAGTAGGCTCCTTAATTCTCGCTATGGACGATTACTCTTCTAAATAAACTTGAATTGTGCGGATTTATTGGTGCAAAGGAAGAATGGTCTCTTGCTGCTTGACCAATCTAAGATCAGCATATACTTTCATTCATCCTTTTTACAACAAAAGTCAAAAAGTCAAAAGTATGTAGGAATTTTTTTAAAAAGTATTGTCACATACATATTTAAGATATTTTTTTTGTATCAGTACAATGTATTTACATATGTAGTAAATAAATATTTTAAAATATGTACTTTGTGTTCGTTTTGTCCTCCGGACTCGGAGTCCCGGACCCCGACCTCTGAGTTTATATTAGATAATTTTTTAACCTGGGCTGCTGGCGGTTGGGAAATTAAAAATGGAAAGATGGCTCTGAAATGAGTCTGAATTCTGAAACAGTGAAGTTTGTTATATAGCCTTCTAAATAAATTGAAACAAGTTTGTTGTTGTTGTTGTTTTTGATGTTTTTTCTATACAAAAACAATAAAAATAAATAAAAAACATCCACATTTTAAAAAATTTCACCAGTCACAATTATTGTTTGTTATATTTTACTTCATTTGTTGACAGAAAGCGATGCTTTCTTTATGTTTAGTTTTAAAAATAAAATACATAAAATACATAATAAATAAGTATTTACGATAGTCAATGACTGGTCATTGATCAACGACCTCGAAAGCCGTCAGAATTTGTTTTTAAAAAACAATACAAAAAAATCCAGCAAGCGCACAACTGTGTTCAATAATAAATAAATACGAACACGCCGGAAAACCATTGCCACACACGCACTCAGTGTGTTCGATAACTTTAGTAATACTGTAATATAAGTTCAAGCAACAGTATTGAAGTCTACTTGGATAACTGAGAGAGCAGACGCTATAGAAAAGAAATCAATAACTGCGATGATAATTCCTTTTCTCGCTTCCATACTGGCTGCGCCTTTTTGTGTGACAGCCACACATAGTCTTGCAGATGTACATATCAGTAGTCCTGAGGCCCCGCTTGGCCATGTGAGTGGTATATATATACCGAGCACGCCCCAAAATAGTGTGCGAAATGAGCGATTAATTGCTGGTACATTCACCAACGATTGTGAGATTGAACTCTCCTCTAAAGATTTGAATTCGACCTGGGTGCTCTTTGTCGAATATAGTGACAATTGTTCAATAGAAAAAGCCCTGAGCACCGAAGCGGCGGGATTTATATTCATCAGTTCCCTTACTGCATCCGAAGGCAATATTTATGGATCAGCAGTGCCGAGTGTGTTGATTAGTAGCTCATCGGGAAAGGAGCTGTCAGAAGCCATCAACAGGACTGCACAACCATTGTTCGCGACCTTCTTAGAATTCAGCAAGCCCCTGAAAATAATGACTCCGTCGCACGTTTCTAAAACTTTATTTGATATAGGTATAGTACTAGGTGTTGTATTGTTTCTAAGTGTCTTGCTGGCGTTGACTATTTGGACCCGCAAAAAGAGGCGGAATGCCATTGTGGCAGCCGTTGTTGACAGCGAGAAAAGACAAGAGAGAAAAACAGCAGACGCTCTGAAAGCTTTACCAATCATCGAGTACAAGTATAAACCTCAAAAAGATCAAATGATAGCGAGAAGGACGTCACCACCCTATAAACAGATCCCAGGTAAAGTGTATGTTCATCCAAGACAGTCCACATGCATAGACGTGGATAGTACTGTTCCGAAAGATAAGATCGAAGAAGAAGAAGCGGACTGTTGTGCCATTTGTTACGATGATTTCGCAAACGGGGACACTCAGCGGCAACTACCATGTGATCACAGTCGTATGTTTCATCTAGGCTGTGTTGACAAATGGTTGCTGTTGAATCGAAAGTGCCCAATATGTAAGATGAACTTTATGTATCCAAGTGGGGTTGGAAGATATAAGAAGGCGACAAACACGGATGGCACTGAAATCGATATTGAATCAGGTATCCAAACTTCACTAAGGTAGTGTAAAACATCTGGTCGAAAGATTGACAATAGGCATCACACGTTTCACTACTGCAGTGCAGTATATGTAATATTACGATGTTTCAAGATAGAACGTCTAAGATCATTGTACTGACGGATACGGGTTTGCAGAGTATCCTAGTACTAAGGCACATGATAGTCACGCTAAAGAAACTCTTTATAGTAGATAATAAACGCATCGTTGAATATTGAGGGTGCTAATAAAACCCTGTGAATTCTTCCGGGCTGGCTTCAAAACTTTGCACAAGAGCACCTGTGATTTGCACAGGTTTATATCTCACAATACAGTCACGTTATACATAGTTTGGCCAAGTTTGCCAAACTCCTGCGTATACGTATCCTTTTGAAACAATAGCTTTCGCCAGACTACTTTCGGTCAAGTATTTATTATTATTTTTTTCTCGGCTGTACACAATCCTTTAAAATCTATATTTTGTGTTTAAATTGCTCAGCTGTCTATATTTATTGGTAAATCGACATAATCAAAGTTCATCTCAGACTATTCTCACTTTTGGACGCAAGCTGCCTTGTGGCAGGGAGTTTTGTAATCGAAATATAGGTAGTGGTTTCGACAGCCTCTGTAGAAGTTTGGCCTCATCCTTATCTTTCTCTTCCCAATCAAGAGTACTGATAGGTTTTCCAAAGTCGTGCAGAATTTCGGCCAGACAGCTATATCCGAAATCCTGCTCGATGGACTCGAACTCAGAATCGTCAGAGGACTCGGTGCAACTCTCGCTGTCTGATTCGCCCCACACCAAGTCATCGAGCGGGTCAAGATCAAGGCTTTCCTCTTCCGTGTCCGGCTGTCTGGTATTTAGGACCCCTTGTTCGCTAGCTCTCGGCGGTGTACCTAGACGTACAGGATTATGTAGCTCCTCGTCTACACTTTGACTTTTCAATTTACTCACAATATAGGACTCTGCAGGGGACTTCATTATATTTTTCCCTTTTCTCCCTCGATTCTGCTGTATTATTGCATTTTTGAGAGTTGAAGCGTAACTTGCGGGTGTGAGTCGCGTCATTAGTGTAGCCTCTGGGCGACTACTACTTTCTATAAGACTTTGCGTGGGTAGAGTGAGTAGCGATTCTCTCTTTATATTATTACAAAATGATGGAAACAGAAATAATGTATTCGATTGTATAATTCGCATTGTTATTATATGATCAGATTCTCTAGAGCCTACGCTGTATACACCAGATTTTGCTGTGAGAAGAGTTTATATATATATTTATATACGCTTCATCGCAATCAACCTGCCAAATCCTTTGGAAATACCTCTAAATTTGAGTAGACTCCAATTTTTGGCGTGCCCGTCTCTAAAGTCCAAAAGTTGAAAATGCAGCGATTTGTCTTGTAAAAAAATAAATAAATACTGTTCCGCTTCACGAAAATTATAAACAAATTTTTTTTAGGTTCAAAATGAAAAATTGTTTATAATTTACATATTTTTTATAGAGTTGATGGTACCAAGATATTTAAATTCCGGTTGACTAATGGAAATAAAGATCTTTTGACTTTTTGAACCAAATGTCTTGTCCAGTTGTCACCCCCCGGGTTTTCGCTCAAACTCTATAGCAATCGACGGCCTCGTACACCCTCTGCCAGTGCTTCCAGCATGGGTATGGTTTGATCTAAACTCACGCAGGCATCCGTTATACTTTTACCGTACACCAATCCACTGGGTCCTTCTGCAGGAATTTTCTGTTGACACGCGAGAGGCGCACGGGACGTAAGTGGTGGAAAGCAAATAAGCGTGAGACCAAAAATGAACCTATCAACTGATTCAAGTACCCTTAATATATACAACTTTGAAGCTGGATTATGAAAGAAAGACCTAGCTAAAAGGAAAAATCTAGCTTGTGTATACACACCATTTATTACACTTACCTGATTGCCCTCGACGAGATTGGATTCGATCATTACGCCGAAGATATCGCGATTACCTGCTGTTAATTGAACGGCCTACGTATGATATTGACAAAATACACAAGCCTTAGATAGATGTCATGAAAAAGAAAACTATCATCATACGAGTCAAATACTGAACTGGCCAAGGGATTACAAGGTGCTGGATGGTCTCACTCGGCGCGACAACTTTTTTGTAAAACAACGGCGAGACTTACAACGCTCTCTGCGACCGTTGGTTGATTGGTATGGATCTTTAGACTGTTACCATGTGAGCAGTCAATCATCAGCTTCGTAGTGATCTGGGTAAAAAGCGAACGTAAACAGTTAGCGTTAGGGCCTGAAATGAACCACAAGCATTCCTCTGTGATTTGAGACATCGAATGAACTTAAGTACACTATCAAATACGAAAAGTTCCTTGGTCGATACCTTGTTCTTCGCCAACTCTGCAACAGCACTCGCGATGTGCGTTTCACTGTAGTTAGGACCAGTGGTACCACCTCGCAGAATCATATGGCAATTCTTATTGCCTAGAGGTACAGAATACAATCGGTTAACAATCATAGGAATGTTATAATCCCCAACATGCGTATTTTGGCTGCGATATGGATCGGATCGGATGATTTTCGTACACCGATATACAAAAACCAGAAGAAAACATACTTAAAACTCACACTGATACCAGCACATCTTTAATCACGCTTGATGGCGCTGTTGGCCTGTTTATGCTATATACCAGCAACATCAACTACGCACGATTGTTCGCAACATAAAGAAATGAGTAAGTATGAATAAAACAATCTGAGCACATCAAATTGAGTGACGACACAGAACACAATAAGCAGGCGGACTCACCGGTGGTTCGGACAATAGCTGCAAGCCCTTGTTTAGTAACTGATAAGAAGTTATGGGGCTGGGTAGCGGATCCAATGGCTTGTGTAGCGATAAGCGTATTGCCCTCAGTCCCATTTTTGAAGCCGACCGGGCAACTCAGTCCGGAAGCAAGCTCTCTGTGGAAACATCCGACAAGATCGCATCGAGTATAACGGCGTTAGGTTGTATGTGTACCAATCAGCTGTGTTGCCATCTGATATCATGGCAGGTTTGACTAGGACACACCCTTTATGCTTGTGCTCTGTACAAAGTGCCAATGTGATATTGCCGCAAGACATATGAACTTCCAATCCTAATACACTACCTGGACTGGAACACGGGCATATATTGTGAGGATGATATCAGATGCTTAGTGTTCCAGCCAACCTCATCACCATATGAATTCGTATGGAACGTCGAGTCGAATTTTAGTTAAAATCGATATTAACCCACAAAAAAAATACCTGTATGAATACTCGACGATACGAAACTGAACAAGTGACAACGATTACTAACATTGAATTGTGTATTCAAGAACAATAGAACAAAACGATCATACGGAGGTTGTGATGGAAGTATCGAGAATCAAAGACAATTCGATGCAAGCACGAAAGGTAAATAAAACTTACACATACCCACATTTCATTCATGGCTGTACACTTCAGGTTGGCAATCAAAATGATACAACCGTTGTAAGTAAACAATTCTAATGAAATATGTAGAAAAACTACAACTAGTTCAAAACTCTATATGATAGAGCTTCCACACAAATACATGGTACACGGGATGTGATACCTTACTGACAAGCATCGTAATTGCTATACAAATGCACACACGCATATATATATATATATATTATACAATTCTTGGCTACATGTGTTATATATATACATATATACACACATACATATTTATAAATATAGTACAAGGATAAATATATACTTTTGTATGTAACTATAAAACTATACATACATACATATATATATATATATATAATATATATTCATGTATTAAAATTTATACACTTTTGTGTAGGCATACATACCACGATCGATTCAATTGTTTTCTAGCTCTATGTTACAAAAAAAATACATAGAATTACTCGCACTCATAATGTTGTAAACATATATACATACATACTTTGATGCAGACACGAGTATATATATATTACACACAAACACCCACATTTATATATATATATATAGGAATAAAACACACACACAGGTATATATAATATATGTAGATGCATATATGGTTAGATACACACACACACGCACACAGGTATATATAATATATGTAGATGCATATATGGTTAGATACACACACACACGCACACAGGTATATAAATATATGTAGATGCATATATGGTTAGATACACACACACACGCACACAGGTATATATAATATATGTAGATGCATATATGGTTAGATACACACACACACGCACACAGGCATATATAAATATATATAAATTAATATATACATATATATATATAATAAATATGATATATATATATATAAATAAATATAAAGTAATACTGAAGTATATACACACTTCCAGGTGCACGTATGGAAAAGAAAAGTATGTAAAAAACCAACCAATAATGTTTGGGATAGTCCCAAGCCTGGGCGCTAATGAAATACGTTTGTTCGAAGAGACGTAGTGAAACACTAAATTATGACACAGTATCCGTACTTTTCTTTACGTGAATGATATTTAGACTATAAAAAACTGGAGATAATCAACTAAACGATTTTATACGCAGAGCAACATTCGCAGTCAAATAGCTCCCAATTGATATTAAGTATAAAATTAAAACCACACTCTTACCTGTGTATTTGAGATTCAGTCGTTCGGGCGCCAATCGCACCCCAGGCCACTAGATCCCCGAAGAACTGTGGGGTTATGGTATCCAAGAACTCAACCGCACAAGGCAAGCCCTTTTCGTTCAAGTCCTGCAGCAGCTGTCTTGCCGTGCGGAGACCCTTGTTGATCTTGAAAGTGCCATCTAGATTAGGGTCATTAATCATTCCTTTCCAGCCAACAGTGGTACGAGGCTTCTCGAAGTACACGCGCATGATGATAACCAGTTCCTTGGCGTACTTCTCCTTCATACCACTCAGCCAGTCTGCGTATTCAAGCGCGGCTTTCACATCGTGCACAGAACACGGTCCGACAATCGCCACTACGCGATCATCCTCGTTGTCGAGAACAGCTGCAATTTCGCGACGTGCCTGTTTTACTGTGAGCAATGCTGCGTTGCTGATAGGGATCTCTTCCATCAGTATTTGGGGAGGTATTAGAGGATCAATGCGGTCGATGTGTACATCATCGGCCTCGTTTAGCGTTAATTTGACGTGTTTAACAGAGATGCCCTCTTCGGTGCTTAGCTTTCGCGTTTGGGACGTCATGATTATAGTAGGTCACACTGGAGACTTAGAACAACGAAATAATGTGCACTAGAATATACTCCCCTCTAGAAATGGCGTTGTGTTCACCAGTCCCGTACTTTCTATATCCGACTTGTATTGAAGTTGTTCAGTACAAATAAATAAATACCAAAGCTTCTTCACCTGGCCGGGCACCTCAAAATACGCCCACTTTTGTGTTTTTTAGAATCAGTCTATGTAAATACTCTATTTACGGTTCACATTACCCAAATTCAGGAATTTTAAGTGCGTGTGTCATCACATGACACCTGCTGTCAGGCCGTTTACCCACAGCCAATCAAAATGGCCTTGAGAGCTTTTTATTTTTGGTTTTTATGACTTTCAGTCCTGCACTGAGTGCACTCATACACTGACTCTGATGAGTGCACTCCCCTGTGAGTAGAAGCCAGCCGCCAGCGCCAGGTGGTGCCCGAGTGCCCGAGTGCCCGCCCGGGCGGCGTGTGGGGCCGTGTGTCAGTGTGGAGTGTGGACTCAGGACTGTGGAGTGTGGTGGGACTGTTGTCTGTACTCCGTACACTGTACAAGTATGTACATATGATACATAGCCCCCTGAGAGCCGAGGCCTCTCTCTGAGGGAGTAGAGTAGTCGAGTAGAGTAGTAGGCCTGGGCAGGGGCCAGGGGGTCAGGGCCCTCACTCACCTCAGGCCTCAGGGGGGCACGGGATACTGTGGGTCATGGGTATTACTATTATAGGCTACATAGTTACATATTAGCATGGGTTCCAATTTCCAAACTTCCAAGTTCCAAGTTCCAGACCAGTCTTTTTGCTTTCTCTATTTATTTACTCTAAATAGCTGTCAGCCTATCGACAAAGTGTGGACTGTGGATTGTGGGCTATGAACACTGAACTGAGTGAGAACTCTGATGACAGTGTTGAAAATTATGAAATACAGAACACACAACTTCACGTCTCACCGAGTGGATATAAATAAATACAACATGAGAACAAGACTTCGTTGTGATTATGACCAAAGAAGTGTTGGATGAACACACTGCGAGAGATAATAGCGAGAACACGATTATATAGTAGATAGCACCGCCTTATCTCATAACGTGTTTGCCTTGATTTGATAGTAGTGCTAAACTATGTGTGTTCGCACCAAATACTACTATTATTAAAGCACGTAAATACTATGTACTATCTATTGACACGTTCGTTATATGATCGTTACAAAATATTTTCTTCTGTTGCATTGTAATTGCTCACACATCTCGGGATTAAAGTATCGAATACCTCAGGCTTTCCCATATATTATGTTCGTCTTAAAATCAGTTAACACGAGAAAAATATTAATATAATCATGTATCTATCTTAGCTACGGCCTCTCTAGTACCCACTGTTGCCCGCGGCAGGCATATCTTCGATGTTAATGTCCATGGAGATCTCCTTGTAGTCATCACATTTTCTAGAGCCGCAAGATTCTTACAATTACCATGGTATGGGTTGTACAAACACCACATATCCTTCCTGTTCAAGGATACAATACACAAGGTATATGTATTAAAATACAAAGCTGCTTCATTTATTTACACATGTATTTATTCTCCCGAGCGTTGCTCTAGTGCTCGCTAAAATCCGCGGCAGGCGTCTCCTCGTCAAGTTTAGTGTCCGTTGAGACCTCCTCGTAGTTCTTTTCAAGACCCTCACGAGCTTCACTGAACTAACCTTTCTCCATACCCTCTCCGACTTATATATATATATATATATATATGTAGTGAAATCCCCGTAGTAGGAGTGGTTAACCAACTTGTTACAACGGGGATATCCCAATATATATATAGATATATACATACACACACACATATATATATATACATACATATATATTTATATATATATACATACACTTGTTTTGTCACGGCTTTTTTCCATGGCCCTCTTGGGGCTTGGGCTGACACTCTTTAGTCTCTGCGGCTCTCTCTGAGACTCTGTCTCCCATCTCGTAAACAAGCTTTCTCTCCCCAGAGGCCCCCGAAGCAGGCAATCGCAAAAATTCCACGGAGACTCAATCCAGTGGGCAATGTTTGTTTCGCATCGATTTGCCAGGAGTTCAGAATATATATATATTTCATCCAACTTTTTCCAAGTCCTCCTACACTAATCAAAGATTATGGAGAAAATCCTAAGAAAGAACTCCAACGTTTAAAGCTATTATTCCTCTTGAATTCTCAGAACCCCTCAAATCTGCCTGAACGGAGTTCAGTTGATCAAAGATTATTTTCCAATGAAGGCTGATCATATTTTTGTTCTCGGGAAATGTTTGCACATTGCTGTTGCTCCATGCTGGTACATCAAAACAACATCTCTAAATATTGACCTATTGAACAGATCTGTACTTGAATAATGCAGCAATTAATTAATCCGCGAAAGTGTGTTCGGGCCATCTCGAAGTGCAATTCGCACAAACATTCCAGTTGTAGACTATCTGTGCTGAACATTCTGAGTCCATCGAGTCATATTCAGTTGTTTAATTCTCTGCGCCCATTTGACAATCGTTAGCGAACTGAATTTTATACTAACACACCTGAGTAGGCACCCTGGCATGCCTTTGATCCTGTTATCGGTATCATCGAATTGACAAAGTCCCCGCTATAAACATCACAAGCGACAAGCAATATTCTTGATACGATACTACACAGATACTGTAAATTTCTTAGTAAACAGTCACAGCAGTATAAATCTAGTACTCCTTCTCGTCGGTCTGCATCTCCTCGTCAATGTTGGAGTCTGTTGCCACCTCCTCGTAATCTTTTTCAAGCGCCGCAAGATCCTCACGAGCTTCACTGAACTCTCCTTCTTCCATACCCTCACCAACGTAGTGATGCACAAACGCACGCTTGGCGTACATGAGATCAAACTTGTGGTTGAGACGTGACCAGGCCTCCACAATAGCGGTGGTGTTGGAAAGCATGCACACGGCACGGGACACCTTGGCCAGATCTCCGCCGGGGATTGTGGTGGGTGCCTTGAAGTTGCAACCGATCTATTATGAGGATAAAAATAGTACGAAATTGAGCAAAAATGGAATGAAGTATTATACACAAGAGGAAACTTTTAAGTATAGTTAAAAATAGCAAAGACTTGGAATATATACTGTGCATATGTACATACCTTGAATCCAGTCGGACACCAATCAACGAATTGAATATTACGTTTGGTCTTGATAGAGGCGATGGTGACGTTGACATCCTTAGGAACGATATCACCACGGTACAATAGACAACAAGACATGTACTTGCCACGTCGCGGGTCACATTTAACCATCTGATTCTCTGGCTCAAAGCAGGAATTGGTGATATCTGTCACAGACAGAGACTCGTGGTTAGCCCTCTCCGCACTGATAATGGGTGCGTATGTCACCAGGGGGAAATGTATACGAGGGTAGGGTACCAAGTTGGTCTGGAACTCGTTGAAATCCACGTTGAGAGCTCCCTGGAAACGCAGCGAAGCGGTGATACTACTCACAATCTGGGCCACAAGTCTGTTCAGGTTCTGGTATGTGGGCTGCTGGATGTTGAGGTTGCGTCGGCAGATGTCGAAGATAGCCTCGTTATCAACCATGAAAGCACAGTCACTGTGTTCCAGTGTGGTGTGCGTGGTCAGCACGGAGTTATACGGCTCTACAACAGCCGTTGCAAGCTGAGGAGACGGGTATACCGCAAACTCCAGCTTGGACTTCTTGCCGTAATCGATTGACAAGCGTTCCATTAGCAGGGATGTGAATCCAGATCCGGTTCCTCCACCGAAAGAGTGGAATACAAGGAATCCCTGCAGACCAGAGCAACTGTCTGCCAGGCGACGGATGCGATCAAGCACGTTATCGACAATCTCTTTGCCCACAGTGTAGTGACCACGTGCGTAGTTGTTGGCGGCATCCTCCTTGCCACTGATGAGTTGTTCAGGGTGGTACATCTCTCTGTACTCTCCAGTGCGGATGCTGTTGATCACGGTTGGTTCCAGATCAACGAACTACGAGATGAAACAGAGGATGAGTGTGGGATCAATACCAGTGTGTATGTTTTCCGTCCATATTGTGACATCCTTTTTATCGTATTCCAGCTAGCAACTCGTGACGTACGATGTGCTATGGTAAATGTACTATTGCTAATCAACTGTTTTCAACCGAACGCTCAGAATCAATGTGTCACTGGCGACACTTCTACCACTGAATACATGTTTTAGGATGAAGTATTACACTAGGTAAATTGTTGAGATATGAACCCAATTAGGTACCCTATACCGTAAATTTGTGAACAGAAAAACAAAAATGTCCACGACCAACTGATAACCACTAATCGGAGTAGAAATAACATATTATGATGGCTGTGCCGCTGTAAGATTTCATATTACGCACGTACGTTATATGTACAGGACACCTTTTGCACATATACCTATATCTAGTCGTATACTTGTTTGTGCGCTATTAGGCGCCATTTTGCAGCAGTCTCAAATTACAAACATATTGTTATCGAAACATAAGTATAAGGTATCTGCTTGAATACGAAAACAGAGCTGGAATAAGGTGAATATAAACCAACATTGTTCATACATGTTTCGAAATTTGTAGGACCCCAACAACTATCAAAACATGAATTAATAATAATGATTTCCCGCAGAAATATGGAGAATAACGATCACAATGGCAAGCAAACTAACATCTACACCATCACTTTACACATTGTACCTATATATGGAAATATACGGACATAATGCCATGTCATTACCAGCACATATAGATTGAAGCCACATAAAATGCCACCATACCACAGCGCGAGGAACCAGCTTTCCGCTGGACGTCTCACTGAAGAAAGTTGAGTACGAATCCTCCACTTCCTCAGTGCGATTCTCGGCAGTCAGGCGACCAGTCTTGTCGATGCCGTGCTCAAGACTATACAGCTCCCAGCACGCGTTACCAATTTGGCAACCGGCTTGACCGATGTGGATTGAAATGCACTCTCTCTTTATAAGCAAGGATGCGATTAAGAGAGAGAGAGAGAGAGAGATAAGGAGGGGGGGGAGGGTTAAAAAAATTTAATGTGCGTTTCCTGTATTGATATCCACTGTATTGGCAAGCGCACGAGCTATTATAAATATTTATCGTGCTCTGAGGGTTGAAATGTAGTATCTTGTATATGTAAGCGTTACTCTGAGGGGAGAAAGTAGGAAAACATACTATATAGGCATTTTGTGTGCTGTGGAAGCGTATGCACTTCCTCTGGATAGGCAAGTGCAAGAGAAAAGTGTCCTCATCGGTAAACGATGTGTGATGATTGTAGGTACTGGTTGTGGTGGGTGTGTGACAACATCCAAGCCCCATGGGCGCTTAACCACACTATTGGATCATGTGTGAATATTTAGCTGAACACTTGTTTACTTCAGCGGGCGGTATGTACGGTCAAAATTGATAGCTATATACTAATTCGGGCACACAGGCCGTCTAAAATTGTAAAGCGTACTGGTTGCAGATCATAGACAACAGTAATCCAATTCCTTGGCATAGCCTCTTTCTGTATATACATATCTCAAACATTCACTTACCATGATAAAAGGCGTGGATGCTTCGAATACGAAAGCAGAGTGGTAAGGTAATTAAATGGTCGTTTGTCTAAGAAACAACTGATAGGCTTCCGCAAATCTTCGGACTATTTATATCGCCTCTCTAATTTGAATCAGGAAATTCAAGTTCAGACGGTATCGAAGCAAATACGACCATAAGGCATAATACCATGACGCGCTGCAATTCATCGCACAACAATGATTTTTTTTTGCATGCGCTTTGTTGACTGTTCACTGTAAATAGAGTGTATTCTTTAGACTGTGAAGTTTTTGGAGCGACCAAGATTTGCATTTATTTTTGGGGTCCCAATTTCCGCCAGTAGCATTCGGTTATGGGTTTACGCGGGAAATGGGTTCGGGCGATTTGCATTAGAGAATATAGTAGGTATATCGAACAATCTGAAAACCCAAAACCCTGAAATTTGCGCGGGCAAATCCTGATGTTTAATAAAGTAAAATAAAGCAGCAGTATGTATTCTCTGTCTATTTGCATACAAAGTAGTATGCATGTGTATGCATATATAGTATCATATAGAGTACACACCTGACCACGGTATGTACCCTATAGTATTTAGCAAGTATGGGTAGGAACAAGTCGCATTCAAGCCTAAGGGACAGCATATATAGTGTGCTAAAGTGAATATATAACATGCGTTTACGTAGGTAATCAATTCTATACAGCCCTTGACTGACCTGGTATTTTCTCCAGGTTGGTTGAGAAGTGTACATTAGCGACGTTCTCTACAGGATAGTGAAGTATAAAGAACCGAATTGTAACAACCTTGGTTTCAGTTATCATGACCTGGTCGAGTACACGAGGGGTACTAGCGGACCTTATCAAAGATGTAACCTGCAAGATCTGCGGCGAACTCGAGCGTAATTCACACACCCACCCCGGATGCGACCATCACTTCTGCCACGATTGCATCAATCGGTACATGCGCATTCACTACGAATGTCCCGAGTGCAATCAGCCGTCATTCCACGGTTGTGCAGATCCAAATGAACCTGTGAATGATATTGTATCCACAATAAGTACCTTCCGGGCGTTGATAGATCATACATATACAAGTCGCGAATCATTGCCATCGTTGTCGAAAGCTACTGAAAACAACAATGCGAAGTATACAAGACGTACGACACAAGGCAATGTATTCAAATCACCATCTAAAGTCCTAGGTGCTATGCAAATTAGAGAGGAACCTGGATCTCCGGTAGTCTTTGCCTCTAGCACAACTCAGCGCCCACGAAGTAATTCAGAGCTCAAAAGTGCAGCTCAGTTAAACCAGGCAGGCAGGCAGGCAGCCCCAGGATCGAGTTTACTGATCGACACGTCTGTACCCACACACACAGACGGAGATAGAGATACACATATACAAGTCGATGAAAATGCATATGTGAAGCCATGTGATATCCCCAAAACAGTACGATACGCAGATGCGGGTGGTGAAGAAATAAATAGAGGCCACGATTTGAATAAGGTTTCAAAGATTACGGACGAGAGTAAACCGCAAATAATCATAAATCATGAACAAGACACTTCAAGGGAAGGTGATAGCAAGGACGAACTTGGGAAGGGTATATCAGAGAACGCGCAAAAAACTATTGATAGGGTCACGACACTCGATAGCACGGGGCAAGTAGTAGCAAGACCACAAAGTGACATCATGAACGAAATAGGCCCAGCTAATACTGGGAAACGAAAGGCAGATGAAATGGCGAATGACGCACAGAGGAGACACTCCTACTCAGTGGTATGCTATCGCAATGTGGTGTGTGTCTTTTGATACCAATTCAGTGTCAAGTGTTCGCAGTATAGGCTGAGTGCACAAGCTCCTGTTCAGTGGTATGCTAATGAAGCGTCGTGTATGCCGTGAAACACTGATAGAGTATAGGGTATTTGCGGTATTGTATTACTGTTTGTTTTAAGTTGGTAGTGTGCGTTTTATCTCACTAGTCTAGTCACAATCAATCGTGGAATCGTATAATGTAGTGAGTCCTGTTCAGTGGTATACCATTATAGCGCGGAGTATGTCTTGTGATACCACTAGTGTGTATTTGCGGTATTGTGTGTGTTGTACTGACTTCTATTCAGTGGTATGTCATTATAGCGTAAAGGGCGTCTTTGTCTTTTGATACCACTACAGTGTGTATTTGCAGTATTGTGTGTGTTGTACTGACTTCTATTCAGTGGTATGTCATTACAGCGTAAAGTGTGTCTTTTGATACCACTACAGTGTGTATTGCGGTATTGGGTGTCTTGTACTGACTTCTATTCAGTGGTATGTCATTACAGCGTAAAGTGTGTCGTTTGATACCACTACAGTGTGTACTGGCGGTATTGTGTGTTGTACTGACTTCTATTCAGTGGTATATCATTACAGCGTAAAGTGTGTCTTTTGATACCACTACTGTGTGAATTTGCGGTATGGTGTATGTTTTACTGGCTCCTGTCCAGTGGCATACCATTATAGCGGGGAGTGTGTCGTTTGATACCACTACAGTGTGTATTTGCGGTATGATGTATGTTTTACTGGCTCCTGTCCAGTGGTATGGCATTGTAGCTTCGTGTGTGTCTTATAGGCACTGTCGGGTGTGTCATATGTGTTATCGTATGTATGCTCGTGATCCTCATTCAGTGACAAGCTGTTGTAGTGTGGTGTGTGCCTTAGTGTTTTTTGGTGCAGTTGGATAGGCTCACATTGCCACGGAAAAGTAACTCCACCCGATGTATAGCCACTATCGTTATAAGCCTGCCATATTGACAACTTTAACAGCAGGCAATGCAAGCAAGGGAGCATCTGACAGAGTGTAATGTACCATAGCCTACTTATTTAAATGTTTTTTATCTCGTCAATAATTTATATCTCAGCAAAATACCATACCTATCTCATTAAGAATCCAACACACATACTAAAAACTATATCGGTAATTTGTTTTGTATGTATATTTGAGTTGCATTCACATTTTAATTTCACGACTACTCATTTACTGCGAGCATTCTCACAGGTAGAGTGCGCGATGAAATATACAATCATCCGCTAATCATGAACTATTCCATCCCATAACAGACTGATCATGTTCCGGAAGCACAGCAAATGGTCGCCCAACGGCGGCTAAAAAGAAGTAAGTGTGCATGCTGTCATGTACGTTGTGTTCTTAAACACATTCTCATGTGCGTGATGTTGTGTGAGAAGAAGTAAGTGTGTATGCTGTCATGTACGTTGTGTTCTTAAACACATTTTCATGTGTGTGATGTTGTGTGAGCATAAGTTAGTGTGCATGCTGTCGTGTACGTTGTGTTCTTAAACACATTCTCATGTCGGTGATGTTCAATGAGTTAAGATGGGTGTACATGGTATCTTATTTGTTTTGTTATCATGACGTTCTCATGCCGGCGATGCTCTCAATTTACCAACCATACGGTATTTATAGTAGCTATGTTGCGGTATTCAAAGTGGCCCTTATATTATCTGCAGTTGGTTGTGGTGCTCTCTCCTAAGCACAATCGTTCGGCCATCCACTTCCGTAAGCATGTGTGTTGCTGATGTCACAGACTTTGTTTGATTATTGGACACCCTATTTACAATTTCAGGTTTTGAGTGTGAATCTCGATTTATTGCCAAATTTCCACTGCCAATCGTGATTCACTTCCCAAATTTCATTTGCTATGGCTCTAGGTCGGGAGTCATATCCGCCTGGTAGGAAAAAACTCTCGTCACATGAGGTGAGTATC